GCGTGGTAGCCAAGTTTTTCGCGCTCCTCCCCCCCCCCCCCCCCCCACTGAAACACGGAGCATGACCCAAAGAATAAAGTTTTCCATTTCCTGCCCTTACTCGTGTCGTAATGCTTGTTTCTCTCCGGGGCTGCGCTCCCCTGCACTCGTGCTGTTAGAGAATGAGAGCCTTGAAAATTCAAATTCAAAAAGAGTCTATTCCTTGCCAAGTGTGCTAAACTTACATCTGGGTGTGGGCTGTGGTTATGATTGTAGAAAACTTCAGTTAAAGAGAGGAACACTGACATTAACAATAACACCAGTCACTTGTTGAATATTTAACACGGTGCTGAGTATTTCCCTTGTTATCACAGTTGTCCCCCCCAACAACCGCACTGTTATTATGCCCGTTTTATAGTTGAGAGAGACGGAGAGTGGTTCAGTAACCTGCCCAAGGCTACACAGCTATTAAATGCTAGAGCTGGGATTTGAACCGGGTCACTGGAACTTCAAAGTCGGTGCTTCTCACTTTCCTTGTAAGCCTCACCTCGCCCTGCTCCGCCCCACCGCCATTTTGTGCCCTGCTCCGCACTGACATACCACCTGATGTCCCAGTTCAAGAAGCCTCTCTCCATCTCCTGCCACCCACTACATCCTGACTTAATTTCTCTCCTTGCCGGCACCAGGGTGTGGCGAAGAGAAAGAGGGGGCTTGTTTCAAAGTGAAATACTCTCTAAGGTTAAAAGACTGGCTTTGGAGGCCTTGGGGGGGGGGGGGGTTACGAATGAACATTTTATCAACACGAATGTCATTGCCTGCCCCAAAACAAACAGCGTCCCACCCGGCTTGCTCCTTTATGAGGCATTCAATCAATAAAATGAGAGCAGGACTCTGTCAGATTTATTGGCTAGGTTCAAACCGAACACCTCTTCCACCCGCCAAAGGCTGGGTCACCAGCTCTACCTTTCCGTCCCAACTCTGGACAGCCCCCGTTTTCCCCTCCGGGGCTACAATGGCTCATTGTTTGAGGCAGGCCTTGTGAGAAGTTGTGTTTGTTTTGCCTCTTATCTTATCAGCTCCAGAGCTACAATGGCCCAGGTGTACTCACCATTTTACCATCAGGTGAGAGGAGATTGTGGCCAGGGTCCAGACTGGCTGGAGAGACTTGCTGTAAAACAGACTGGCTGGTCACCATGGCATTGTTGCCATGGTGACTGATTGTTGAGGAGGAAGTGACCTCATTGTTTCCCTGCTGGCTGTAGCGGACTCCTGCAAAACAAGACAGACCCAACAGCAGACATGAGTGTCCTCAGGGCCCTGGAAGACACATTTGACTCCCCTTGTTTTCGCACGGTGGATGACAAGAACCCAAAGTTGCCTTTTCCTCCCCTGTTTCCTATGAGAGACACTGGCTGGCTTTCTCCAGGGTAAAGGCTGGCGTGGACTCTACTTAATTTTGGAATGTAAGCTCCTTGAGGGCAGGACATTTTTATCTGTTTTCTTTTGCTCATTGCTGTATCCCCAGTGCCTTGGCACTTGGTAACCACTCAATAAATATCTGTCAGAGGAATGAATGAATGAATGAACGAACGAATGAGCGAGATTTAGGGGCTGAGATTGGCCTTCTCTTCCTAACTAGAGTATTTCTTGTATTCTTCAAAATGTCTTCTAGAAATGTTTCCCTGGCATCTCTTGGCAATGTGGGGCTGCAAAGCATGAGTAGACCCGTCCTACAAAGAGGCACTTGTCCAGGGAGCCCTGTAAGAGCCAGAGTGGAAGGCATCGGTCTTTGCATACCACTATTATGGCTGAGCACAAGAGGCTGGGGTGGGCAGGCGGAGGGTGTTGCACACAGGCAGAACAGGTCAGGGATGGGGCTGTAGCTGGGGGTCTGTGGCTCTGGAACTCACATTCCTTTGATGGGGTCCCATTTGGCTGACTTCCAGGGCCCAGGGGAAGGCGAGTCTGCCGGGAGGTGGGGCAGGCAGCACACACAGGCGGGATGTGGATGCTTTAGTAAACCACTGCAGTTAGGTCTGCAAGGGAGGGGAGAACCAAGCATGTTTATAGCCTCACTACTCTGGCCCTCCCTCTGGTTCAGGAACCAAAACAGAGGTCTGTGCTCAGGAAAGGAAAAGCACTGGGCAGAGAAGGCTACCGAAGGGGCGCAAGTAACCTGGACCCAGTTTGCAGAGTCCAAGTCCTGCTAGATGTGCCCGTGAAACAGCTGGGGACAAAGCTGGGGGCAGCTGGGGCATCTCACCCTAAGCTCAAAGCCTACAAAGACTGTGTTCTTGTGTTGCACTTTGGACTTGACAGAAAGGCTTGGGGGACCCTATTTCTACCTGCAGGAGAGGGAGACCAGTGCTCTGGGCATGCAATTATTTGGAGGGGTGGGCCAACTATCTGGCTGCACTTCTCCTTTTGCCAGCTTTCCCAAGACAAATCATTACTGTATAAAGCATACTGATTCTATTGGTCTGTTTGCCCCTGTCCTGCTTCCTGCTTCCCCCTGGAGCCCCACCTGCCCAAGGAGGCTACAAAGCCCCCCTTCCCAGGGGCCAGGCAAGCTGCCATAACCAGCAGCCTCCAAATCACTAAGATGAAGCTTGCCAAGAGGAGACCCAAGCCAGTCTTCTGGCATCATCCAAAGGACATTACCCAAGGCTGATATGACCTAGAGCTTAAGAGGGCTGGGAAGAAAACAAACAAATGCTAAGGCAGGGTTCTAACCTTCAAGAGCAACGTGTTTGACTCTGAGTGGCTTGATGAATGCTCTATGGGCTTCCTCTATTGGTTGCTGTCCTCATCCTTTGATTCAAGGGGCTGTCAGTGGGGGTGACGGTGGCAAATTGGAATTTGGTGGTTATTGGTCTGGGGCACCACACTTTTAGGGGAACAGGAGCCATGAGGTTAAAAGGAGGAAGGCTCCCCTGCCTCTGAACCAACACCCCCTCCCCAGTCCTGCCCGCGGTCCTCCACACCTATCTGCAGTCCCTACGTCTCCTACCTCCTACCCTCTATTCATCCCATTGGATCACACTGGGTCTTTTTTCTCCACTCACATTTACCACTGGGCTCCTGGCAGGATACATCCAACAGCTCACAGTGTTGTGACATAGAAGAAGAAAGATCTGTGCCTTGTGAGCTCAGGAGGCAGAGAAGATCCAACAGAAAAGAGGGAGGTAGGTTTCAAAGCAATAATAGGAAGAATTTTCTGAGGAGGGACAATGGGAAGACTGTGGGCTCAGGAGCTAGACAAACTCAGGCTCAAATCCCACTTTGCCCTTAGGAGATGTTCGATCTTGGAAAAATTACTTCTCTCTCTCTCTGTGCCTTCATCTCCTCTCATAAAATGGAGGGAACACTTCCTTCACAGGGCAATTTCTGGATAAGAGAATATATCTAAAAGTTTCCTAGCATGATGCTAAAGAAATGGTAACTATGGGTCGGGAGGTAGCTAGTATGGGGATGGACCCCAGGATATTTGCCCTAAGACTCTAGAATTCTAGGCAACTTAGGGCAGATTCTAAGTACTGAATGGAATGACCTGTCCATGGAGCATAGTTCCCCAAGAATCCTACTCTGAAGAACCACTTATGTGTTTTGCCCCAGAAGCTACTTGGGAGGCAAGTCTGGCTCCTGTTTTCTCGTTCTTTCCTTTTGGAGGGACTGCACTTCACCTTGTTTTTCTCTTGCTTTCTCTGACTCCCTGGCCAGCTATTTACCTCCCCAAGATGCTCTGCTCCTGAGAGAGTGGTGATAACGCTGGGAGTCAGGTGTGTGTTCACCTCCCAGCCTGTCCCCATCATCGATTCAGCCTCAAGTCAAACAGACTCTGGTTTTAGCCTATTTAATTTGGCCAAAGGAAGAGGGCCCGTCCTTTGGTGATCAAATATGGGTCACAGGGAGGCTTCTCCCCTACTGCAGGCTACATAATTATGTATTTAAAAATAATTAACCAAGGATACCCATAGGAAACAAAGCCTTCTTTAGGAGGGAGCCTGGCAGAAGAGCGTCAAGGGCCATTTGTTAGAATCCAGCCAGGGTAGCCCAAGGCTGCTGTGGTTTTCAAACCTTGTTTCTCCCCCAGCACAGCTTCATGTAAGGGTGGAGCTGTTCTGTTTAAAGACAGAGGGGCCTTGGGGCGCCTGGGTAGCTCAGGTGGTTAAGCGTAGGACTTCAGCTCAGGTTCATGAGATTGAGCCCTGCATCTGGCTCTGCACTAACAGGATAGAGCTTGCTTGGGATTCTCTCTCTCTCTCTCTCTCTCTCTCTCTCTCTCACTTTCTCTCCCCCCCCTCCCACTTGTGCTTTCTCTCTCTCTCAAAATAAA